AAAAAAATAAAAGTAGTGATTCCTTTTTCTCTTGCTGCTAGGGACTGAGCTTTAACACTGACCTACATTCCCAGCCTTTTTTTAAACTTTTATTTTGAGACAGAATCTGTACATTACTAAATTGCCTAGGCTGGGCTCAAACCTGTGATGCTCCTGCCTCAGCCTCCCAGAGCACTGTGGTTACAGGCTCACACCACCACACCTGGCTCAAGCAATGATTCTTGCCTCTTCTGTGGTGAAGCAAAGATACAGAGATCAACAATACCCAGCCCTGCTTGATGGAGCTCATGATCTAGACACAAAATGGCAGAGGGGGACCCAGAGCTGGGGAAGAGCCAATTGTTGGGTCAAGGCCCCTGTGAGCCACTCTCCCAGCTTGGGCTCTCTGGCGAGGGAAGGACACCAGCCTGGCTTGGCCTCCCATCAAAGGTCTGTCTTCCTCTTGCCTCTGGGTGAGGGAGTTCTAGAAGGACTCAGCAGGCCCAGGGCTGGGGGCCTGCCTGGGAGTGGTGTTGGCCCCGGAAATGGGTGTGGCGGCACAAGAGGAAGTGGGGGAGGTAATGGGGGGACAGCCAGTATATAGGTACAGGGAAGGGACAGGGGAAATGGACAATGACAAATTTAGGGACAGTTTGAGTGGAGTATGTGAATGCAGAGAAAGCAGACAGCATGAATCCATCCCAGATACAGGGTGCTGAGCCTGAATCCCTGACCAGAGACTCCTTCGAGAAACCTTATTCGTGGCACTGATATTCCCACAACACAAATGACAGGCTGTCACACAGACCACATTTTGGCCAGAGAGGCTAGGAAGAAGATGGATTGAGAAGGGGCTAAGGAAAGCATTCAGAGCAGATGTCCAGCCAACAAATACTGAGCATCTGCTTAGAAGCTAGAGCTGGGAACGCAGCCATCAACAAGGTCCTTGGCCGTGCAGCTCTCAGGTCTAGAGCTCGAAGACAGAACCAACACAGAGGTTAGGTGCAAGACAGGTGGTAATAAGATAAAAGTTAGGAAGAGTCCTCCGAGAAGACAGAAGGCTGGTACACACACGAGAAGATGCTCTGTGCCACTAAGAGAGGTGCTCCTGCATACCCTTAGGGTGATTATTATTTCAAAAAAGAAAAGACAGGAGGGAAAGAAAACAACAAATGCTGGCAAGAATGTAGAGATCAGAACGCTTTGCATTGCTGATGTGAACATACACAATGAAGCCACCGTGAAAACCATTCAGCAGTTCTTCAGAAAATTAAACACAGAATTAACATATGACCCAGCAATTCCATTTCTGGGCATATACCCAAAAGAGTTGAAAGCAAGGACTTGGCCAGATATTTGTATATTCATGTTTGCAGCAGCATCATTCACAATGGCTAAAACATGGAAGCCACCCAAAACACATCAACAGATGAATGGGCGGACCATGGTCTATCTGTACAATGGAATATTATTCAGCCTTTAAAAAGAAGGAAATTCTGTCCTATCCCCTAATGTGGATGATCTGTGAAGACCTTATGCCAAATGGAATAACCCAGTTACAAATGACTCACGCTGTGTGATTCTGCTTATACGAGGACCCCAGGGGTGTCGGATTTACGGAGGCAGAAAGTAGAATGTTGTAAACCAGGGCCTGAGGGAAAGAAGGAGGTGGAGTTAGGGTTTAAAGGATAGAGTCTCAGCCTGGGAAGAAGAGCAAAATTTGGGGAGATGGATGGTGGGGCTGGCTGCACACAACAGCGTGAGTGTAATTAACTCCACTGAACTGTGCACTGAAAGTGTTTAAAATGGTAAATTTTATGTTATGCATATTTTATCACAACCAAAAAAAGTTTTTTAAAGAAGTCAAGAGGGGAAACTGTTGGGTGAGAGACACTGCTTAATATGAGGAGGTCTTGGAAGGGTCCACTGACCACCAGTCCTCTGAGGTTCAGGGGGACAGGGGACGGAGAGGGGTGGGCTCCAGGCTGGGTCCAGACAGACACTCTGGGGCTGAGGATAAAGGGAGAGTTCCCGGGGGTGAAGTTCTTTACAGAGAAGGGAGGAAGAGGGGGGCTGTGACTAGGAGACCAGACTGTGGGGCCAGAACCCAGGAGGAAATAGACAGTACCCTCCAAAGTCTAAGTAAGGGACTCACAGAGTGCAGGTGGGACCCAAGAATGGGCCAACAGCGGCAAGAGAAGCAGCTGAAGACATTGTGGGGAGCTGTCGCTGCCCCTTGGCTTCAAGTGCCACAGAGAGGAAACTGAAAGCCAGAGCTGGGCTAGAACTAGAAGAGGGGCCCCCAGGCCCCAAGTGAAAAGCACTGCAAAAAGCCCAGCTGCTCTCTCCTGCCATCCTCTATGCCTCTGGGTATGCCTGGGTGACCTCTGTGCAAAGGTCAGCCTTCTAAGGCCCAGGGAAAGGCAGAGAAAGCAGTACAGATGGCGCCATTTGTTGAAATGAGTAACACAAGCTTAGAAGCCATTTTGGGGGAAATTTGGCAGGCTGGACAGGGAAACCAAGCAAGAGGTCTATCCTCATGAGCCAGGGCAAGAGATGTGGGAGCCCAGGCACACAGAGACAGCCTGCCTCTCTCTCATCTTTGGTGGAATAAGGACCCCAAGGTGGTTCAGAGGCTTGCTTGAAGCTAGCCAGCACACCCCCACCACCCCCACCACTGCCCATGTCCTGTTCTCTGAAGCAGCTCCAGCTTTAGCCCAGGAAACACGGGCTGCAGAGACAGCCAAAAGGAGAGCAGGAGCACTGTGCCCAGCTGGGGCAGCTTTCCCAGACACTGGCTCCAAAAGACTTGAAGCCGAGGCTGATCAGGAACCAAGTTAATGTGGTAAGCAAGGTCCCAGGAAGCCAGTTTCGTTTAAGGAATGAGATGGGAGGGTGCCACGTCCCTGTTTCCCTGGCCCTCTGAACACACCACGTCTCCTCCACCCCTCTGAACACATCACGCACACACTTCAAGCAAGGAGAAGCCGCAGGCCTTCTGGGGCTCTTCTCCCAGCCCTTGATCTGCCTGCTCCCCGCTCTGCCTTAGGAGGCACAGCCCAGCAGAGGGGGCAGCTGACTGGTGCTCTGCCCACCCAAAGCCCCTGCAGATGAAATATTCATGCAGCCAGAAGACAGAAGACCAGCTGAGGACGTGCCCTGGGGGCTCTGGGGCTGCTGTACTGGCAGCAGCAGCTTAGCCCACCCCTCTTCCCTATCTTCAACCTTTGTTCTGCAAACTGTGAAAATCCTAAAGACACGCACACACTTCAAAGACAGGTGGGCAAGGAAATCTGGCCAAAAGAAGAGGGGAAAGGGAGGAGAGCACACACAGATACAGACCCCAAGAAGACACAAATACAAAAACAGACTCAGACCCATACAGACTCACAAAAGACACACAGAGATCTGAGCGCAGTGCTCAGTGTCATGCAAATTCTTAAAAGCTGAACCCCAACTTGGGCATCTGTAATCCCAGCACTCTGGGGTGCTGAGGCAGGAGTATCGAAAATGAAACCCAGGCTAGGCAACTTAGTGACTTAGTGAGACCCTGTTTTAAAATAGAAGGGCTGGGATGTAGCTCAGTTGCTAAGGCCCTGAGTTCAATAGCCAGTAAAAAGTCTGCATGCTCGTGCATCTGTCCGGCCCCTTCCGGTCTATTCAGACACTTCTAGCCCAGTTCCTGGGTCAACCCTTGGAGACACCTCTGAAAGGAGCGAAGCTGTGCTTTGCACTTGCGGCCTGGGGGGCCCCTCTTCCAGTTCTAGGCTGCACTTTCCTGGCTTCCACTAGGGAAATTTCTCGGGCTCCCAGTGCCCACCCTCCTAAACACCCCGCATTCAGCCTCACCCAAGAGGCAAAAACGGGTCGCGCTCCCAAAGTCACTCTGAGATTAACCAAATGGTGCCTTGAACTCAGCAACACGGAAGGCCCAGCAATTCCATTCTCAAAATCCTCTCCCTATTGGATTATCCCCACACACAGCCCGACCTCTGTCCAGCCTCCAGGAAACACAACGACGAGACGTCCTGGGGGTGTCCCCGAGTCGGACTCCCACCTGCGTGAACAGTCCTGACAAGGACTCTGGATACCTAGTGATGTTCTCAGATCCAAAATTAATAACCTCCCTGACCCCAGGTTTCTCTCAGAGCTGGCGCGCGCCAGCCGCAAGGGACGAGACACACTTTCCATTGGGGCAATGTCCTGCCTGGAAGCCTCGCCCCTCCTCTCCAGAGGGCGGCCCTCCAGAGCTGCGGAGGGCGCTGTGGACATCAGGCTCTGTGCCGCTCTAGCCAGCAAGCGGCCCAGGAGGCCGGCTCGATGGTCGTGAGCTGTCCAGCATTTCAGCAATCGGCGGCGGCGCCCGC